ACTTTGATTGTTATGGAGATTGAGTATGTTGTTTATTAGCTTCCTTTTGTGCCTCGTATCATTTTCGCTGCTCATTGATGTCAATTGTTTTATGAATCTCGGGCTCTTTAACTGCTAGTTGCAATAATATGAGAACATTGGCTACACAATGATTCCTGAACGTCTGTCTATTATCTTCTGGTTCTCCAGAACGCTACTTGTGTATAGAACTTCATTGCGGCTGAGGAAGAAACCTGATGATATAGTACTATTACTGGTCAGTCTTATCATATAGGTTTCTGCCTACGTCCTGACTTCAGATCTTGTTATTGGATGTTGAATTCGAGTAGGGAAAGTTTCATGGTACACCCATTTGTAAGACCCACTTTCATAATATACCTAAGTTTTAAAATTACATCAAATATCTCAAAAGTATTAAAATATACCTCTAAATCTTCCTACATCTTCTGAAATATACTATAATATTCTAATTTGGAATACATTATTTAAACCAAATAGTTACCACAATATTCTAATTTGGAATACAATATTCTAATTTGGAATACAATATTCAAACTAAACATACCGCAACACTCTAATTTGGAATACAATATCCAAACTAAAATATCATAATTTTTTAATTTAGAATGCATTATTCAAACCAAACATACTACAGTATCCACAATTTTCTAATTTAGAATACAGTATTCAAATCAAACATTCCAAATTTTTTAATTTGGAATACAATATTCAAACCAAACATACTATATTATTTCAATTGGGAATACAGTATCCAAACCAAACATACCAAAATTTTCTAATTTAGAATACAATATTCACACCAAACATTCCACAATTTTTAAATTTGGAATACAATATTCAAACCAACCATACTATAGTATTCTAATTTGGAATACAATATCTAAACCAAACATATCACAATATTCTACTTTAAAATACATAATATTTTATTTTGGAATACAATAGGTATACAGGGCAAAATAAATTTATAAAGTAAGTATACAGGGTAAAATAAATATTTTAATTATATATGGTGGTAACTAGTGTTTCCAGTAGGCATACCGTGTAGATTTCCCATTCAAGTATTCGCATTTGGCAGAATCAGTGAGGTTCATGGATGCGTTGGTTATGTATTCTTTTTGGACTGAAAGTTACTTCTTTCTTCTTTATTGTATGTAAACCGCTCCCCGCCTTGCAATTTACTTGGTCTCACTTTTAAATCCTTTGTCCTGGAGTGGCATGGTTTTTCATCGATATGATTCAAATTGATAATACTAATCTAAAAAAAAGGACTTCGTCATGATAACAAATAATAATATTTGAACTGGTTAAGTAAATTGGCTGGGAGGGAGCATTAAAAAACTAGGTTATCTGGAAGCTTTTGATTAAGTTGACCTGATTATACCCTTTTTTTATTAAGTAAAAAATCTGATTATAATCGCTTGTTGCTCTGAACAGATCAAGGAGTTCAATGATGTTAACAGTGACTGCAGGATATTTCTTCTGAGCACTAGAGCTGGTGGCCTTGGCATTAATCTTACTGCTGCAGACACCTGCATTTTATATGACAGTGACTGGGTACCTTCTTGTGCCTCCTCTGATATCCTTTGTTTCCATCCTTTTATGTGGCTAGATGACAGTTTATCAATACTAACAATTAAGGTGATGTAAGTATGTAACATGCAATTTTACAGGCACTGCCGAATCGTTTTGTTTAGGATAAAGAATAATGTTATTACCAATGACACTCTAGAGAGTAAGGTCTTAAGGATAAGTATAAGTAAGAGCATGTGTGCTGTAAGATCTGCTAGCGCAAGAAGAATTAAATTGAGTTGAGATTAGATGAGATTGCGATGCCTAATGCAGACAATCCAGTTTTTTAGGCTGAAATTTTCAGGAGAAAAGCATGATAGACTTAGATGTAACATGTCGAATTAAATAGGATAGCTGAAATAGATGAGTGCTACATGAATATTCTTATGTGGTAGCTGACAGAGATATACCTAATTAAGTGAAAGATAACTTCGATAGGATGGTTGTAAGACTAATAATGCTGAGTGAGTCATAGAAATACTCTCATTGTTAAGGGGAAAAATGAGAGTAGTTCACCTAGATGGTTTGGTCATATTCTATATTGACTTTCAAGTGCACTGGCCACTTGATGACACCATATTTTCTGAAGATGTCAAAAATGAATGAGCTAGACATAAAATCTCATGGAGGGAACCTCTCGAAATTCATGTGGACTTAGTGAAAGTCAGAACACAATGGAAGTTCTAATGTAGGCAGTAACAATTAATTAGGATTAATATTTAGTCATTTTTGGTACCTTACATTAGGTCTCGTGCTTGGCTGGAATCTTTTTAGTTTGTTAGAAATTGTATGTCAGTGAAGAGGTAAGTATGAGATCTAGACAATCCTTAATCATCGAGTGTTAGAATCATGGAGTGGAATGTATATTTGAGGATTTATATAGCCGAACCTTACTAGTTTGGGATTGAAGTGTAATTGTTATACGATATCGTGATATTACTAAACTGAAAACACATGCATAATGGGACCACTTCCAGAAAATGGTATGATTTCAGCATGAAGAAGCAAGTTTAAGTATCAAGCTTGTATAATCGCTCGCCTTATGTTTGGGGGTGGGGTGGTTAGGAAACTACTGGATTTACGATCCACTTGATCATCTTATTTGATACGACAGTGTGGTGATATGCCACTTAAGTGGAGTTCGTTTGAAACAAAGTTATCACAAGTTCTTACTGCATGTTGCCTTGCCTCTTCATATAGGATCACTTCATTGATATCCTGTGCTTGAATCCTTCTCACTTCAGAAGCAACGTTTCCACATATTTCTTTCATTCATATTCTGTTCTTTTACTTACTATTTGGATGGCCAGTTAGATCAATCAGTAATTTGCACTTCTGTTTTCAGAATCCCCAAATGGATCTACAGGCTATGGATAGGTGTCATAGAATAGGTCAGACAAAACCTGTTCATGTTTATAGGCTTGCAACTGCTCTCTCGGTGGAGGTACTATTCAGTCTGTTTCTAAAACTACATCTTAGCAGCTCTTTATACTCTTTTCTAATGAGGTAAATGTGCGCTTTAGGGTCGAATCCTCAAAAGAGCTTTCAGCAAGTTGAAGCTTGAGCATGTAGTGATTGGAAAAGGACAGTTTAAGCAAGAAAGAAATAAGCCTACTACAGATATCATGGAGGTTTGTGTTTCTTACCCCTGCAAGATGCTCCTTTTCTTTTATGTGTAGCAGTGAGTTGTTTTCTCTGGTTGTAATTGAATTTGACATCCTTTAAATAGTGTACGTTTTTATAACATTGCCTACATTGGTGTGAATGGTTTTTCATTCTTTGATTCAGCGGGAAAAAACAGTCGTAGCTTGGTGTGCCAATTAGTTATGCTACCGTAGTTCCAGTGAAAAGCATTTTGTTGTCCATGTAACCGTCATTTTTCTTGCACGTTATTAATCCTGTGATAATGAAATGGATTGGATAATCTTTGGTAGTGAAGTAGAAGAAAGTAGCTGGTGATTTTTGCTAATAGTGATTCTTGTGTATCAGGAAGAGGACTTGTTGGCGCTTTTGAGAGATGAAGATAGCGAAGAGGACAAGTTAGTGCAGACGGATATTAGTGATGAGGATCTACAGAGGGTTTTAGATCGAAGTGATTTACTTGCTGGTCCTCCAAGTGAAGATGTTAGCCCTGAATCAAGTGTAAATGCCCTTCCTCTTAAAGGACCTGGTTGGGAAGTTGTTATTCCAACTGCAACTGGAGGCATGCTTTCTACGCTCAACAGCTGATAAATTGACTCATCAGCCTGCTAGATGCTATATTTGCAGAAATTAGATGTTTTTGGGAGCTGCACAATGTTGATTAAGTTAATCTAATTTTGCAAATTTATGGTTTAGGAGCACATAGTTGTGCATTGAAGTACCTAATGGTAACATTGGCAGCATTCTGTAAATCTTTATCATATTTGCAGATTATTTATCTTAAATTGATGAGGACTATGTTCCATGTGTTTTTCCTAGCACCATTTTCTTTTATTTCATTTTATTAGAATTACCTTCTGGGTCAGCATAATGTTACCATTCCATGCACTACACACCCAAAGCTCTTAACCCCTTTCTGTAGTTAGCATCTTCAGAAGGAACCTGTGCAGGCTGGCTGGGTTGGATTTGCCACTGTGATCAGAGAACTTCTCGAATGGAAGGGACAAATTTATGGTAGGAAATAATTTACTTTCCTTAATGAGCTGACATGGCTGCTACGCTCATCTAAGGTGTATTTAGTATTTAGAGAAATAGTAGGGAACTTGATTATCAAACTACAAAGAAGGCCAAACTAGTCCCTTTTTATGTCTGGGAGATCAAATGGAATAAGGTGGTTCAAGCCAAAAAGGGGAAAAAAGCAAAAATGCAAACGAGAGAGGAAAGCGCCACCGGAGATATGTTTCTGTCATTTTTATGACGAAAAATGAATTTCCGTTACCGGGAATCGAACCCGGGTCTCCTGGGTGAAAGCCAGATATCCTAACCGCTGGACGATAACGGATTAATGGAAGTCACTGATGTACAATTATAAAAGAAGCACAAACAGAGGCAAATTCAACGATACATATATAGAATATTGACAGCAACTCAAGGTAGACCACATCCCATTTAAAGGTGGATTTTCAATGTTTTCTCAAGGGTAGGGATGTAGAAATTTTTATATTATGATTATTTTTAATCCAAAGAATTTTCATTATTAAGTCTTTAAATGATCTTTTAAATGAGCACGCCATTTAACTATTTATTGAAATTACGTAAGTCCTATTAATTTGAATTTTGAAAATAAAGTATTTTATCTATTACAGTATCTTAATCTTAAAAAAAACAAGGATGAAGTAAACTATTAAATCTGAAACGATGAGTCTATACGTGTCATGCAATACAAAGAAAAAACTTAGGTGGCGACTTGTAAATAATTCGAGCGGACACACTTGTCAAAAACAAACCATACGTGGGAAGCAACGAGAAACCTTAGAGTTCATGTCCAGAGCAAGACCAGGACAAAATTCACTCTCTGTTCTCTTGAAACAGATCACCATTTCATCATCATTTTCGTCCCCTTTTATACATACACTTCTAAACTGCTATAATATAAATCGAATTATCAAAGAATCGAACTTGAAGATGATCAACGCAATAAGATTAGCCACAATTAGAGCACAACCACTGCCTGTATTCTCAAACCCTTTGCCTTACCATATTGGTCGAAAGTCCTCTGAAATCAGATTCAGACAAGTCGTAACCTCGTCTGGACAACCAGACAACAGCAACAAGATGGATCAAACTAAGAAACCTGCAGACGAAGCAGAGCACAAAGCTGCGTAAGTTTCCTTGCGTTTTTCTTTTTCAGTAAAACTGCCCTGCTAGATGTACCTAGTATTTTCTAGGAACAATCATTTTCTCTGCCTTAATTTGTACTCCATCCCTTTTCCTTTCTTTCTGTTTTTGATTAGACAAGAAGTTTATAAAAGGCAGAGTCCGGTGCACTAACCTCATAACTGCCGGACCACAAGGTCCATTGTACGTAGCCTTACCCTACATTTTAGGATTTTCGCGGCTTGAACCCTGTTCGCGTGACAACAACTTTTCCGGTTATGTCAGGAAGGCTTCCCTTCCAAGAAGTTTATAAAAGAATAAAAGGATTGCGATACACATGAAAAATACTACTAGTATATACTAGTACTACTATTGAAACTTCTATAAGAAAATGTATATGTGGTAGTGAAAGTTTTTGATCCATGTTTTATGATTCTAGATGTGCCTTTATCTGTGGTGCGGACAAGTCATGCCCTTTGTGTTTTTTCCCTTTTTTTTTGGGGTCTCTATTTTGAGTGTTTGGACATTACCAAGAGTGTAATTCGTATTTATTGGATTGAAGGGACACAATGTCGAGCAGCTTTGGAGATGGATATGCGACGAGATCGGATGAAGAAGGTTTTGGAGGCATCTATGGAGGAAACAAAGAGGATGAGGAAAAGATAACCCATGGAAAAGCCCCTGGTAAATTACTTAAAACTTAAATGGTTTATGTTCTATATTAGTCTTCTTGCTCTTAATATGTCCTCTGATGTTAAATTGCTGATGAAAATAGAGTATGATACTAATCAAGGAAGTGAAGTCAAAGAGAAGGAGAAGGCACGTAATCAGCGTCAAGCAGCTTGAAGAAAATTGCCATTCCTGTTTAGTTTAATTACTTCTAGTCGGTGACAGAGAAAATTCCCTGCCTACCTTATTTAATATGCGATATATCCTCCTTCCCTTTTCCCTAGTATTAAGCTTTAGTATGTAAATTGCACTCCTGTTTCAGAGTGTGTGAATGCTAGAGGTTTTTACCTAACTCGTTCATATAAATTCTTTCACTAATTTGCGGTTTATAATTTTGAATGTTGTACAATTTGGATGGAACTCATGTTGCCGAGCGGATTAATTCGCCAAATAAGTAGTATCTGAACATTGTTTTGAGATTTGCATTTAAACCGTTTGTTTACATATGGTGTGTTTGGTACGAAACAAAATGTGGTTTTATCACTTGTTTGGTTGGTGAGTGAATTTTCTTTTTCTGAAAAATATTTTTTAGTCGTTGGTTAGAGAGTAGAAAATATTTTTTGATGTTACTTTCCTTACCTCTTTTTCCAAATCTCCTTGTTTCCTTGCTCTCTTTCCCCTAAATACCCAACGTTTTGAGGACTCTATTTTTTTCAACAATTTAATTATTTTTTTAAAAGTTCAGACAAACTCAAAGGAACTAATGTGCTGTTTTATTTTTTTACGCAAAACAACTTTGAAATTTATGATCCATAATTATAAAGGAAGTATTTTTTTTTTAGTGAAAAAGAAAGTACTCTTTCTACAGTATAAAAATAAAGTAATTGTTTTTTTAAAATAAATAATTTTTTTTCTACATCATGAAAAGAAAATACTCATTTTGAAAGACAATATTTTTTCTACGTCAAAGTATTGTTTTTGTTAAAATAAAATAAAAAATATTTTTTTATATCATGAAAATAAAATATTTATTTGTTGAAATATATATATTTTTTTATCTATAACATGAAAAGAAAGTATTATTAATAATATTTTTATTTAGGATGGGGTAGGATTTTTATTTAGGATGGGTAGGGTTGGAGGTTGGGGNTTGATAGGGAAAATATTTTTCTCCAATTGGAGAAAAATGAGTTCATGAAAAAAATATTTTACAAAATATTGAAGTCAACCATAAAAAAATATTTTCCTTTCATACCAAACACATCCATAATCATGTGTGTTTTTGTAATTAATCAAAGCCGGTGGTTGAGTTGCGTAATAGAAAATTCATAGGTCAATTAATCCTTGGATTTGGGACGTTCACCTAGTCATAAGCAAGCCATGTTAAATGCTTATTTCAAAACTAAATGGCTAAATTAGCAGTAAAACGTATCCATGTTTGCAGGTTGCTACCCGTTTAGCAATTTATCTGATTGTAAATATGTTAAGTTGCATATGAAATAAAAGTATAGAGTAAGCATTGAGCACCGCTGAGCTTATGTATTATCTAAGTCGTGCTCGATGTTTGTGGCGGACTCTAACCCTCATGCGAGGATGAATAATTTTAAGCGATGAAAAGTAGGGTCCCGTAAAAATCTCCCAAGATCTTAGGCTTTATAGTGCCAAGAGTAAGTTAAAATGTTCGTCGTAGGGTTGAAGGATAAAAAGTTCGCAGCGGAATGTATATCGCACAATGCATCGCAAAGTGGTCAGTGGTGAGAAGAACCAGTTTGAGAGGATGATCCTGCAGTTGATTATGCAGACCAGACCGCAAAATCATTGCAGAATGGGTTAAAAGGGTGTCGTTTTTGGGGGGTTTTTCGCGGTAAATTATACGGATCACATATCAGTTTAGCGGAACGTAAATTTATCGCGAAAATGGTCGGGCCACCCGAGAAATTTTTGAAGGAGAATCTGCAGTCTAATATGAAAAGTGCCGATCGTAGAATCGTCGTATATTCGATTAGTACATTTCAAGAATTTGGAGGATCATTTTGCGGTCCATTTTGCTAATCGCAGAAGCAATATGCGGTTCTTTTTGCGATTAAAAATCTGTTTCGGAGGGGCTTTTTAAAAAAATCTTTTACCCGATTCTATTTTTAATAAGAGCCTTAGAAGTTGTTTTAGAAAGAAGAATTTCACTATTTTGAGGGGAATAACTATCCTAGAGAGAGAAGGATGAGCTCCAACACTTCTATACTTCAAGAGTTTTAGCTCGATCCTTGGAATTTTAAGGCGCTATTTACCAGATCTTCTTCTGTCAAGATAAGATTTCATCCCAAGTTCTTTTGCAACTTTCAATAATGAAAATTTTAGATAGAAAATTGAACATTGGAGCCTATGGGATGGTGATTGGAAGCCATAAGCTCTCAACCTTGAATTTGGATATTAGGAGAATAGGGAGAAGGTACTTTTTTATGTAGTTGTTGGTTGGATGCAGGGGTGACAAATGGGTTGTTTGAGCTAAAGTTGGATGGGTCAAGATGAGTTGAGTAAATAAATGGGCTAATGTCCAAACTTGTCCAAAGTTCATTTGGATCAAGATGGGCTTGATTCACATAGTTTTCTACCATATGTAGTTCAATTTCATTATTTTTACTTAACAAAATTGAAAGTACTAGAGATTCCTAGAGGCATACCATCAGAAAAACTTCCTTGACCGATTGGGAAGATCAAGAAAACTGCTAAACAATATGTTGTACCCAACTCGCTCAACTTGATCCAAATCTTTATAATTTTGTCAACCTTTAAACAAATCAAAACCCAATATGTTTTAAAAAATTTAAAATATATTCACAAATAATCTCCTCTAACTCAAATCATGATATATTGTGAATTATACTGAGATACCTAAAAAATAGCTCAGTACCCGTCCTTTATTTTATTGATATAAATTTTATTTTTTGTTTTCTCTATTATGATAATGTGTTTCTTCTTTATTTTCAGATTTGTCCCTATTTTTGTCACAACAGTTAGTTAAATAAATCACTCGACATTATGAAAAAGAAAGTATTATTTTTATTGAAATAAAAGAAAATACTTTTCTATATCATAAAAAGAAAGCACTCTAAATAATATTTTCATATATTTAGGGGTGGAGTTGGGTGATAAGTAGGTGGTGAGGTGGGAGCGGGGATGTGGTTGGGGTGGTGGGTGGTTGGGANCCTCCAATTGGAGAAAAATCGAGTTCATAAGGAAATTACTTTCCAAATATGAAAAAATTAGAAAATCTTTCATAGCAAACACACCCCGAAGCTATAACATGGGTCAAAGTAGAACTCCAAGATAGAACATTTTCATGGGTCAAGGTTGGGCATCATCCTGTGTCCATCTGGGCTGATGATTCTTGAAGTGGGAGTGGGGATGTGGTTGGGGTGGTGGGTGGTTGGGGGTTGGTGGGGATGGGGAAAGTTGAAAAAGAGTTTTAAAAAATATTTTTTCTTCTCTTAATAGGGAAAATATTTTTCTCCAATTGGAGAAAAATCGAGTTCATAAGGAAATTACTTTCCAAATATGAAAAAAATTAGAAAATCTTTCATACCAAACACACCCCGAAGCTATAACATGGGTCAAAGTAGAACTCCAAGATAGAACATTTTCATGGGTCAAGGTTGGGTATCATCCTGTGTCCATCTGGGCTGATGATTCTTTATGGGTTAACTTGGGATAGCCCGAAATAACTCATTTTTAAAATTGTTCTCACCCAAATCCATTAAACTTTCGGCGGATAAAATGAGTTTGGGTTAGTTTTTCCACCCCTAATTGGATGTAGTATGGGTGACCATGCATGTATTGTTGAATGTCACATACTACCCAAGGGTGGCTATGAGTATGAATGTGGTCATGAAAGGGGGTGTGAAGGATAAGAAAATACCGTTACTAAGGTGGTAGAAGGCTATGCCATCTAGGTATTTGATAAAATATTTAAATGACTTAAAAATATAGAAACCCTCACTAATGTTTGTTCAATTGAATTTTATGGTGTAGATTGAAGTACGGGTAGTGGAATATAGTAGAAACCCTAAGGAGGCCTAATTAAGGTATGTTTGGCTAAGCTCTTCCCATAGAATTGGATTTCATGAACTCCTTATAAACTCCAAGCACGTTTTGTTCAAGTTCCTATTTCCTTAGTTCTAAATTGCTTCACATAATTGAATTACCAAATGCTTATGGACTCGATTCATGTTACAATTTGCAATTGTTATGCTTTCATCTTTGCAAATATTTCTAAGTGTTTTAAGCTTTCATGTACTCATGTGTTGGTAGGTATGACTTTCCAATATTTTAAATACATTTTTATGACTTTCGATAACCCAATGCACATGAATGGAATGAACTGATGGATATGATATGTGGCCGCTTGTGCTAAGAATGAAAATTATGATGTATGTACAAAAGTGTCAAGGAAAAGTAAGATTTTATGAATGGCTATAAAAAAATATTTTTGGGAGTATTATTATGTTACCGAGAAGGTATCGGCCGCAATGGCCTATACCCGAAATTACAGTTGCCCGTGTAGGAAGGCGATTGGGAATAAGTCCCTTCGTACTATGATGTACTATGTCCCTTAATTGGAATGAATGTATTTCTACCAAATTTACGTAAATCCATACGGCTTGTGTCACGAATCAAAATCCCAACCTGTCGTGTGACACCTAACACACTTGCTAGACAAGCCGATAACCACATAACAACTAACCATTTGAATAAAACACGTTTTAATAAATAAAACAGCGAAAAAACTCATAAACATCTGATACAAATAACTGAAATGCTACTACAACCATTTCAAAATCTAGCGTCAACGAGTACATGAGCATTGCTAAGTATCAACATAAACCAAAACTCTAGTACAATTGTATGAGTAATAGAACAATACTGAATAAAATAAAAGGAAGGAGAATATAGTCAGAACCAATATAATGACAATACATGTAAGATAATGACAATGATAGTAAATAACTCAGATAAACTTTCATATTCAACTAATTCATGGTACAGAAATTTAGACATGTTTTCAAATTCACAATTAAAGACCAACACTGATAATAACATGTCAAATATAACTAGCATGGGGAATGATACATCTCTATGCCTACATGTTAAATATGCATGCCAAATATAAGGTATCACACTGATATTCCCAGGTACTCACACTCTCAGAGTACTCAATCTGTCTACCTCAATTCCCACTCATCACACACACAATCACTCATCAGTGTACCGGTGCCTGGCAGAAATACCCCTTACCAAAGCACAAGTAGATATCACTGTGCCTGCGCTCACTGCTGGAGTGTCAGACTCCGATCCATAATAACACTCATAATCCGGCTCTCAGA